CAAACTTTGCTGCTTGAGTATGAGAGAAACATGTGTTTTATTCCTGTTATTATTGCACAGCTACAAGATCATGTGGAAATGTTGGGACGTGGATCCAAAAGAGCGGCCACATTTCTCTGTCTTAGGTGAATGGCTTGGGGACATGATGGAGAAATCAGAGCATCAGGTGTGGTAGTTTTTACACCTCTCCCACTCACTAATTGCATATTTGACAGGGAATAATTAAATTATGGTCCCTTGCAGCGTTATGAGGAACTGAACAAGAGATTTAAGGAGGCGAACTCCAAGTACTTTCAAATGAACACTGATTATCTGCAAATGATGAGCGTCCCAATGCCCGAATACGGATACCTTCGACCACGTCAGGTCCAACATTCTCAATCTCCAGCGACTGGCAACTTAAGTTACCCAACGGCAAAAAACCCGAACAGAGAGAACTCCTTCAGGTCAAATGAGCGAAATCCCAGGAACATAGCAGAATCAGAGACCGAATTCGAAATGGAACCTATGGTCATGTGACCAAAAGGCTACTACTTTGAATCCATGTTCGGAGTTAACATCTTTAAGATTGGTGAATCAGATTGATTGGGACAAGAGGATACATGAAGATTTGAAAATAAATGGAAGGAATGATGTACCCCAACCATTGGAATATATTGCCACTCGTAGGATATTAGTGATGCAAGAGTATTGCTCCAAACCTTCTTTTCGGAACACTAAAATGTTCTGGATTTAATTATATATTATTGAGAATTGCTTCCATTTTGAATCCAATGTAATAATTTCTAGCTCATCTAAGAACTCATTACATCGAGTCCAATGTTCGGAAACCTTAAACCTGTATTGCTTAATGAAAAGGCAACAGCCATGATAATTTCGATGAAAGGAGCTAAATTAAGTCAATTTGCTGATGACTAAAATGTGAATGCCCTGTGCGTAAAACCCATGAATCGCTTTTGGTGCTGGTCCATTAAACCCGTGTGTCTGGACGTGTTTCAAGAAGTCTTTCATTCGGTATTTTAACTATATGAGACCAAGAGGACAAAATATATGAAGGTTCATCTTTTCAAAATAAAAATGAAACTGCGACAGTGAATATTCTTAAAATTGAATTAGTAAATGTTTTGGCGTTTGGGGATAAAAGGGTTAATGTATTTCCACATGCATCGTAATATGAAATTATCTGCAACTATTATTATGCTATTACGTTGCAATCTAATCTATCTAATACTTTAATTGAAAGAGGCCGAGAGCTGTGGTGGCTGGCTCTACTTACGCGTCGGGCC